AATGCCAGGTGAAGGATATTAATCGAAAATGCATGGAGATTTGTTTAATCCAAAGCACACCAGCTTGGTGTAAGAAAAAATAAAACATTTAGAAAAACAGCATCTGGAAAATATACCAGAGAGACATTCAAAAGACAGAGCCTGTCTTTTGTTTGAACCAGATGTCAGAGTGCTGGGTTAAATCATTTTGGGTAATAGCCTTAGGATGTGTTGCCTGTCTTTAATGCTAGTTATGAAACAATTCTGATTTTTTTCTGCGCTGCTTGCCAGAAGTTGAGTTTATATAATAACGAAGTGAAATATAAATTGTCACATTTTGGGTATTACTGCCAAAAAACTCTGAGATTGGCATGCTGTATTCATTGCGTTTAGGCCTCTGGGCACATTTGGAAATTTATGAGCACATTATAAATTAGATTGATCATATCAGGGCTGCAAAAATCTAGACAACCACGGGTTGGCAGCAAAAAGATTCTGAAGAATTCCCTTTGTTGCCCTCTAGTGGTCATATAGCCCTTTATAGACCAGGTATGATCAACTTACATACAGCATGTGCTTTTGCAAAGTCAATAGTATAGATAGCTTTCCTCCTCACAAAATGTTTCACCTTTTTGGCAAGACTAATTCAAAACTGCTACTCAGGTGAAGCAAGGAGCTTGGAGGGAGGAGTCCATAAGCACATTCATGTTCAAAACTGATCTAAGATCAGATCTAAGATCAAGATCTAAACTTACATACCAAGTTGTTGACATCTAAGTACACTTAAAGAAACTTCTCTAATTAGATGTATTAACGGAGGAACAAAAGATTACATAAACCACAACAAAGCTATGACCTTTAAGATCCAATTTAACTCTTAGTTTACAAGGCTGGATCTTTCTTCATTCGTCTGGTTGCAATAATTTGAGGAGATGGTTACCTGTGATGTCAATAAGCATCTAAACTACCTTGGCAGCTTGACCTCTTAATCTTGCTGGCTGGGGAATTCTGGGGCTGAAGTTGAGCAACACTGCTTTTGAAGACCAATACTTACTGTCTCCTTATTCAATGTGACTCCCCCGCCCTCCGTAGAAGAAATATGTTTATGTACTATTTACTTCATAGACACTGACCTGAATGGCTTGCTAGAAGTTCTCTCTTGCTATCACATTATCCACTGAAATTCAGATTCTTGCTGTTTGTCAGGCTTAAATCTAAGAATGACATGTGGCAATTCTTCCAAACTGAGTTTTTTTTTATTGTTTCATACCTATAGGGAAAAGAAAAATCTTGTCAGACTGAGGACTCAACTGTGTAAGTCTACAACAGGGGTCTTCAAACTTGAGAGCTTTAAGACTTGTAGACTTCAACTCCCAGAATTCCTCCTCCAGTCATGTTAGCTCAGGAATTCTGGAAGTTGAAGTACACAAGTCTTACACTTGCCAAGTTTGAAGACCCTTGGTGTACAATATACTCTATGAACTATTAAGGAGGCTCTGTCTTCACCCTCTTTCTCTCACAGACAATATCTGTCCCTTCTTAACTCCTCTCCATTGCACAGCAATCCCTCCAGGAGATCCACTTCTTCATCACATCCCACCAGGCTAGGTCTAATGCAGGGGTGTCAAACTCATGTCATCATGGCTGCATCACATGATGTATCCGGACTGCCCCCCCCTTTTCTAAAATGGGCGTGGGTGTGGCCAGCGCATGAAGCATCCTTACCATGGGCCGGGAGTTTGGCAGCCCTGCTCTAACAGGTCCATCTTAGACTGTTTCAAAATAATTCTGAAAATAGATTCTAACTGGTATTTTGGACAACTTTATTTCTGCAGGAGGTGGGGGACAAACATTGTTAAATAGGTGAACTGTTTATCTGACTTTATGTAAAGAGTCCATTTTAGACAAGAGAGATGAAAGACAGATCATGCTTTTGATAATGTTATTTTTTTCCTAGAAAGTATGATTTACGCTAAAATTGCTAAAATTTAGACATTCAAAAGTTTACGACAAGCAGCCAAATTAATTGTAGTCCCCATAGCATTGTGTTTAGGACATTGTCTTTTATTATAATCAAAATGTAATTTTAATTCTGTGCACTTAGAATTGACAATGTATAAATATTATATAGAAAGAAAGAATGAATAGATTTAATACTGAGGAGTCAAAATCAATTGTGGGCAACCCAAAGTGGGTTTTTTCCCCTGAGTTCTCTCTTTAAGAAGTTGGAGATCTAAGAGTTTGTGTTGGTTTAGCAACTGGTTGGAAGCAGCAATTCCCTGAATGAAGTAAAAAAAAGAGTTTGTGTTGGTTTAGCAACTGGTTGGAAGCAGCAATTCCCTGAATGAAGTAAAAAAAAGAGTTTGTGTTGGTTTAGCAACTGGTTGGAAGCAGCAATTCCCTGAATGAAGTAAAAAAAATTTGAAGCCCACCACTGCAACAACCCATGGTTTGAATGTCTAAATCCTTTTCTACACAAAGAGCAGGCAGCTTTCCCTCCCCAGTTGCACTGATTTTTCAGGTTGGGAGGCAGACAAACAGATCAATAGACATTCAACGTTACGAAACCATACACCCTATTATTTATTGTGAACCAAGAAGCATCTTATTTCATTAAACCTGAATCCTAAAATGCAGCCTGTTATGGAGAAAGCAGGGTAAATGTCTCATCCATGGCTTCATTCCCTGAGGTTTTCAAACAAGACCTGGTTTGTTTGTTTAAATGGATTTACCAACTTGTTTATAAGCTTTTTTTTCAGGGCGGGAAGCAAATATCCTTTAGATGAGTAAACATTCACCATTGAAAATGCCAAAAATCAATCCCTCTCCACACACTTAACGCAGTAGAATATGACCTGAGCCTTTGGGTGATGGCCAATCATCTTTTTCCCCCTTTCTCCTGTCCAAAGAACCAAAGACTGGAGCCAAGTTAACTTATATAACTGGTGTGGAGAGATTGGGGACCAGCTAGGACTCAATGAGATTGAACTGGGTTGAGCACAATATGGTTTGTTAGGGTCTAAGCTAGTGTAAGGGTAATAAATAAAGAAAAAAATATATATTATAGCATTAAGTAGAGAGTTACTCTATAGGCATTTCTTAGCTTGCTGTTGTGGAAAATATTTCTTTAACCTTTCACGTGTTGTAAACCTAGTAATAACAAATGCAATCAGTTACACCCCTCTCCTATTGAGACACATGATTACCCCACCTAAATCAATCTGAATCCCTCTGGTTTATGTTTCACACCCCTGAGAATGAAATGTACTTCTATGGGCATGCAAATTGCTCCATCCGGAGATATCCACACTTTTGAAGTATGCTGTTAATAGCCCTCATAAGTGATCAATTAGCAGGACAATAGGAGAAGAGATAATGAAAGATAAACAATACCAGAAGGACATTTGTCTTTTGCAAGAAAGATGTAAATCTAAGTTAGAGTGTTTTACAATGCAGTTACTCTACTTGTAAGGATTTTAAAAGTATAAGAAGACTCTACTTGCTGTATATGTTTTGTAACTTTCCTCACTTATCTATCTTGTGTGTATGTGAGGAGAGGTCTTAGTCTTTTATTGATCAATAAAAGTTGGGTTTTGTTCTTCAAAGTCTCTGCTTAAGTTCATTTTTGGCACATCATGATCTTAAGTTATACCCAAACTTTACACTAGCAACTTCTTTCTGTTCCAACTGATGAAAACAAGATTTGAAAGGAGGGAAAGGAACGTGGGTGGTCCCCTCCGCAACCGGCACAACGGAATTCTGATTTCTGCTCTCTTCGGTCTCGTCTGCTTTTTTCCGATTGGAGTCTATTGATCTCTTCTTCCTCCTCATCGGTTTCGGACAGGGATTCGATGTCCTCATGGTGTGTTGTGGTGGTGGCCTTTTGAGTTTCCTCTGGCTTCTTGTCTTGGGCTGGGCTAGGGTCTTTTAGAGCTTCCTGTGTTGCTCTATTCATTTTCCGCATGGTGGCTGCTGATTTCTGCGCTGCTTCAGCTGCGGTAGCTTCTTCCATAGCCTCGGTTACTGTTATGTTGGGTCTGGTCAGTAACAGGCTCTGTAAGGCGAAATCTCTGAGTCCGAGGACCACGCGGTCCCTCATGGCCTCGTCCATATTGAGAAATTTGCATGCTCCGCCAATGTCTCTTAGAGCCGCAACGAAATCTCCTATGCTCTCACCTTCCCTTTGGTCTCGCTTGTAAAACTTGTGCCTCCAGATGAGGCTTGAGACAGTTGGCACATAATGGGCTCGCAGCGCTCTGTCCAAATCTGGCCACGCCATTTGCTTCACATCCTGGGGCTTTGCCAACGCTTTGGCCATCTTGAAGACTGTGGGCCCACAGTGGGTTAGGAAAATGGCTCTCTTCCTGTTTTCGGATATCCCCTGTAACTCATTGCTCTCTAGGAACATGAGGAATCTGTCGATGTAAGAGTCCCAGTCCTCCATCACTGGATTGAACGGTGCAAGTGGCGACTTGCTGCCGGCCATTTCGTCTTTGCTCGGTTCTCGTTGCCACGTGCTCAACTGGTCTCCTTTGTCTCAGTATCCCACCTTCATCGCCAGTGTTAAGTCGCAGGAAAGATCGACTCGAGACCAGTGTGACTTCAACTCTTTTTATTAGTCTGTGCAAAACTGCCCTGCCGCGGAGCCACGGTAGCCTCTCTTATAGCGGCTGCTCATGGCTCGCGGCCAATGACGGCTCTTTGAATCTCCCGTCTCACGGGCCAATCACAATGTAGTATTCAAAATTCAAATATATAACAGATAAGATATTCTTTCAATAAAAACATTCCCACTGAACTTAGCAAAAGAGAAACAAATACCTGGTTAGAATTGGGAAAAAAGAAAGGAAGGAATTTGCTGCGCTGCAAGATTAGGCAAAATCTCCAGGTCATTTGCAAAAAAACCTCCATTTCCTAATTTCTTTCAGACAAAATGTTTGCAAATGTTGCAACCTGAACAGAGTGACTATGAATGAACTGACACGTGAGACCACGTGAAGGAGCGCATAAAAGTCGCTTCTTAGTCAGCCTGGGCTGGCAAGAGAGATGGAACAACTAAATCCACAGAGCATTCTGGTGACCGGTTCCAATCGCGGACTTGGCTTGGAGCTGGTCAAGCAGCTGGCAAAGAAGAGCAACCCTCCAAAATGGATCTTTGCCACTTGCCGGGACTCAGCTGGATCTGGTGCTCAGGTGAGGCCCGAGGTGCCTTCAGCCCTTGGTGGGAAGAACAAAGATTTTTTTTCTTTAACGGAAATTTGCTTGTCTCCCACGAGGTGGTAACAGTGCAGGCAAGTTTAGAGATAAAGATATACCAGTGTTTATTAAATGAACGCTCGTTATATTTGAAACGTTTTTAGGATGCTTCTATTTTGCAGAATTCGGGAGAGGTGAATAATGGGGAGACTAATTTCTCCTATCAATGGATTGGAAGATACATGCAATGGCTGCATCTTTGCAAATGTTAAGAACCTGTGTCAGATTTCATCACCTTTTGTTTTTAATTCTTATCCCATTTCAAATAAACCATTTGCAAAATGTGCTGCTCCAGGCTAAGTTTTTGGATTTTTTTTTCCTTTCAGGATCTGAAGAATTTGGTTGCTGAACATCCACAAATTGTCATCATCACATTGGGTACGTGTCCTGAAAATTGCCTTGGCTGTTTAGCTGAGAGGGAAAATGCTCAAAGTCAGCCAACACAGTAGTAGATCATGTTAAGGAAGCATTAATTCCCTCAGAGCAGATAAATGTTGCCTTGCCTTACCATTGGTGCAGGTAGTGCTTGACTTGTAACCACAATTGATCCAATGGTGGGATTCAAATTTTTTGACCATCAGTTCTGTGGGTGTGGCTTGGTGGGCGTGGCAGGGGAAGGATACTATAAAATCTCCAGTCGGAGGTGGGATTTGCTGGTTCTCCAAACTACTCAAAATTTCCGCTACCGGTTGTCCAGAACTGGTCAGAACCTGCTGAATACCACCTCTGAATTGAACCCAACATATCTGTTGTTAAGTGAGACATTTGTTAAGTGAGTTTTGCCCTATTTTACTACCATTCTTGCCCCAATTGTTAAGACTAGCAGTACCAGCTTTTGCCTTAGCGGGGATATTATGTGCAACATTTTATTAACACAAGGTTGGAACCATTGTGGTTTTAGCCATTCAGTCTCATCTGAGTCACATAACTCTCTGTACGACATGTCTGTATCCCCTACTTCATGTAAAGTCCTCACGTCATCAGTTAAGTCATTTAATCTTCTTTGCTTCTGCTAATATTTTCCATTGCCAAATGGATACAGTTTATAACCTGTGTGTATTAAATCGGTGTGGTTCTCTTACTGCAATAACTCACGCTTGTTTGATAATGATTTATTGGGTGAATTGCAATTTAATAGGCGTGTATGATATGTTAAGCTGTAAATCATGAGTTACAAATATTATAAACTACCCAGAGCCACTGTGGAAAGTGGATGGGCAGCATATAAAGTTGAATGTAAATTATAATGAATTGTTTAGGCAAAAATCTAGGAATGCTGTTGGCTCTCCTACCAAACAATGAAACAAATATTTTGCTAAGTAGATGTACTGGATAATTAATATTCAAGCATAAACTTGGTACATTCCAACATTGAATAATGAGCACACAGGTGCTGTATCTTTCTAATCTTTTAAATGACTTTCTAGAGTTATTTCATTTATTTATTTATTTATATTTATTTTTATTTATTTGATTTGTCGATCGCTTACAAGATAATAGGTCTAAGTATAAACATGAGTAAGAATACAGGAAATAGGTATGAATAAATGGGCACAATAAGACAGGCACAGTAGGCCCGATGGTGCACTTATGCACGCTTCTTACAGACCTCTTAGGAATGGGGTGAAGTCAATAGTGGTTAGTTTGAGGTTAAAGGAGTGGGGGTTAGAGGATATAACAACAGAGTCAGGTAGTGCATTCCAGGCATTGACCACTCTGTTGCTGGAGTCACCAAACCAACAAAAATGTAATATGCATACATGTTCTGTCTCACCTTTCTTCTTAAAAGATGAAAGAGTACAAACTCACACAAACACAGACAGGCAAGCTGGCTCAGACTTCACAGAGTTAATTCTTTGGAACTAATAATGTCCTTGGCATTCCAACACGCTCTGCCTGCCAAGTCCGAACTGATAATAAGTAAAAAGCTACTTACAGAAAATTAGAAGGCAGACCACAAAAATCATTCACAAAGAAAAACCTGAAGTAAGAGCAAACTTTGTCCCGTACAAGTTCCAGCCGACAACACACCCAATTTTATCCCCTGTGGGGTGTGGCTCAATGACTCAGCTCACTCTCTGACCCTCCCACGACTCCTACGTTGCTGCTCACGTTTCTCCCTACGACGCTACTTAGGATCGAGCCAACACTCTTCCTCTTTACTCCCTGTCAGGGGCTGCTCCGATATCCCTTCCTCCTGATTAATCTCAGGCTCTCGGTTATCTGATGAAACCTGAGGCATCATCATGGAGGAAGGCATTGCCAGAGAGAAGGTCCTGGAGAGGAAGGCATTCCCAGTTTCTCCTCCTCATCTTCCGAGTCCTCTTCCTCTAACAGCACAGGCTCGGGAATCGGAGCCACAACACATACGTCTGTGTTAACTAAGTGATGTAACATTAAAATTGAAGGAAGGAGAAAAAGTGGATATCAGACATATCCAAGTAAATTTTCCTGGTGATAAGATAGGCAACTTTCTGTATGACCTCCATGGTCTACATAAACCATTTATGGATGTATTCTTCAACACTAACTTAAACCAGATCAGCTGGCACACCAGAGTGGGTTTCTCAGTAGAACCTGGCTTAAATAAGCCATGGCTTCATGCAAGGTTTCCTCTTGGCTACATAAATTCCTTATTGGATTCCCATCAATGAATATTTCAAAAATGATCAAACAAGCACTTTTCCTGGCAGTAATGAGACTAAACATCATCATCCTATTTTAACACCCCCATAATACCTTGTAGGAAGGAATGTTTACTGGGCAGATTGTTGTAATGATGAGGCAGTCGAGGTATTTGATCATGATCAACTGAATCATGATGATCTTTATTGGAGTCTAGTCTTGCATTTATACACATTTTTAGTTATCCTCCATCATTGGTTAACTTTGGTTACTGCTTAACTTTCGTTACTGTTTAGCATAGTAATTAACACAATTAATTATCTCTAGTTAAAGTCTAACATAGGCTTACTTCCTCTCTCTAATCCTCCTTTAGATTAGTGACTTTGTTTGCCTGAGTTGTATTTGCTTGGAAACATTCTTTATCTGAGGTTTGCCCTCCGAGATAGGAACATTCCTGCAATTACAACTCTACACCGGATGCCTCTCCTGTCACCAGTGTGGAGTTTTTTCCTCAGCAGATACATTCCCAGTGTGCCAGAGAGAGAAATATCTGCCTCCACCTATGATTGAACTCACAGCCTCCTGATTATTACCACTCAGTAATAAAATTAATCTCCCCTTAAAAAAAAATTCAGCAAAATATCAAGGAATTCAGTAGGACCGAACTGGTGCACAAAGCCAGATATGGGATAATGCATATTTATTTTTCATCCTGTAGACACAAATGATCCATGCAGTGTTAAGGCTGCTGCAGCCAAAGTCACAGAACATCTCAAGGGGGCTGGATTGAACCTGCTGGTTAACAATGCAGGGATTTTAAAACTGAGCACAGTAGAGACAGAAACACCTGAAAACATGTCGGACGTATACAAAACCAATGTCATTGGGCCCATGATCGTCAGTCAGGTAAGGATAATATATTGTCCTTTTATGAGGGAAAATCGGCTACTTGGATGGATGGATTCTGCAGAACAGCTATTAGATAGTTTGGATTTTGTCCTGGACTAAGGAAAACTCCTACCTCACACAATTGTGAGATTAAAAAGCTAAACCAGGAGCCCCTAAACAGGGCATAAACACATGATTTTTTTTTTCAAAAGAATTGCCTCATAATTGCACAATCAAGAGATATTTGATAGGCTGCGGATATAGTGAGGACGAAAAGATCGGGTTGGTTGGAACAGAGAGGAAGGTGGGGTGGATCCCTTCGATTTCTTCTGACATTTATTGGGGAGCCGCTGAATCTTTGCATCGTGGATTTTCATTGGTGAAGAGATATGTTGGCGCCCTTCATTTGTCTGTTTTTTTTCCCCCCCTTCCCTCCTCCAGGCCTTCCTTCCCTTGCTAAGGAGAGCATCCCAAAAAAGCCCCCAGAAAGGCATGAGCTGCAGCAAAGCAGCGATCCTCAACATAACTAGCGAGTGCGGCTCCATGACAAACCTCTTTGCCTGGCATATGAATGAGCTCATCTCTTATCGTTGCAGCAAGGTATGCACAAGCTAGCGGAAAAGGGCTTTTGCTATGATTAGTGTTAAAGCAGGGGTGGGCAAACTTTTTGGCTCGGGGGCCTCATTGACTTTTAAAATTTGACAGACGGGCCGCCACCTGGTGTCGAAATGCCTGTCATTACAAGTCAGAATCAAATGAATGCAATCATTCAATCGTTCACATCAAACCTTAATTCTGTACCAATCTTTGGCAGGCCGGATTAAAAAGACCAACGGGCCGGATGTGGCCCCCGGGCCGTAGTTTGCCCACCCCTGTGTTAAGGGTACGAATTTCAATTTCACCTTCAGTTACAGGAAATCCTGGACATGGGAACACCACGGAGCCAGGGTAAGATTCTACTGGTTCAGACCGGTTCAGGCGAACCATTTTTTTTATAATTCTGCACAGTTCGGAGAACTGGCAAATCATGCCACTGGCTGGCCCTGCCCTGCCCTGCCCGCTCCTCCCTGCCCTGCCCCATCACTCCTTATCTTGCCTGTGTGCCATCGCGGCATGCAGCCTGCCTTCGCCCGCCCGCTGTCACTGCCTGCCTTCCTCTGCAGCCCTACCTGATCTGATCTCCCTGGGTGAGTGAGGCTCTACAAGCCCCGGTCACCTACCTGCCACCACTGCTCCCAGTCCTGGTTGAGTCCTGACTCCCAGGCCACTTGGCCGCCATCTTTGCCCGCCCATCATTGCTGCCTGCCTTCACTATCGGTGAGTCAGGCTCTACAAACAAGCCCCAGTTGTGTATCTGTCCCCCCGCTTGCCTTTTGCTGCCATCGCCATTAGCCTTTCACCTCCCCCCCACTTGCCTTTTGCCGCTGCCGCTGAGACCAGGTGGCCACAGGACACGTGGAGAGGCTTCATGTGGTCTCTGGGCCAGCAGCTGCTTCTTTCCTTTGCTGCTCTAGCTGGGAGAGCGAGAGAGTCTTTCGCGGCATGGCAAAATTTAGCTTTGGGTCCTGCAAGTCCAGCTCTCATCGGGAAACGGCTCCTGGTGGCAGAGAAGCAGACAGGTTGAATCCTTTTCCTTTCTGCTGCCTGGAGCCACTTCCCGACGAGAGCTGGACTTGCAGGACCCAAAGCTAAATTTTGCCGTGCTGCGAAAGACTCTCTCGCTCTCCCAGCTAGAGCAGTAAGGGAGAGAAAACAGGTCACTGGAGAATACGCGGAGCCACCGCTTTTGCCAGGAGAACGAGAGAGAGTTTTAGCAAAGGCGCCCCTGGATCAAGTCCAGAACAGCTGATTGGTGGCTGCGGGAAGCAGAGCCTGGATGCCCCGATTCACCACATGGACAGCCGCAGGGGCGAACAGCAGTGGGGAGAGCTGGTCCGGGCCATTAAGTGAGGACCACTTGTATTTGGTTTGCCAGTCATGTGGCCACCTGCCCTCACCACCCCAGTCACATTACCAACTAGCCACGCCCACCAACCAAGCCATGCCCACCAACTAAGCCACGCCCACAGAACCAAGTGTTAAAAAATTTGAATCCCATCACTGGCCCCGAGGAAGGAAAACTCACATTAGCAACTTAGAGTTTTGCCTTCTATTTTTTTTTTTTAATTTGGTTTGTCAATTGCTTACAAGATAATAGGTATAAGTAAAAACATAGTTATGAATACATGGATGCATATAAGAAAAATAAAAAAATTAAAACAAACAATAGGACAGGGATGGTAGGCACGTTTGTGCGCTTATGTATGCCCCCTACAAACCTCTTTAGGATAGGGGTGAGGTCAATAGTAGACAGTCTAAGGTTAAAGTTTTTGGGATTTGGGGAAGAAACCATAGAGTCAGGTAGAGTATTCCAGACATTGACCACTCGGTTGCTGAAGTCATCTTTCCTGCAATCAAGTTTGGTGCAGTTTGTCTTGAGTTTGTATCTATTGTTTGCTCTTGTATTGTTATGGTTGAAGCTGAAATATTCATTGACAGGTAGGACATTGCAATGTATGATTTTATATACCATACTTAGATCAGACTGAAGACGGCGTAATTCAAGGTTTTCTAGGTCTACAATTTCATAAGGTATTCTACATAAGGTATTCTACAATGAGTAGCGGAGTGGAGAACTCTTCTTGTGAAATATTTCTGGACTTTCTCAATTGTGTTAATATCAGATACGTAATGTGGGTTCCAGACTAATGAGCTGAATTCAAGTATTGGTCTAGCAAAAATTTTGTATGCTCTAGTTAGTAGTGTAAAATTACCAGAGAAAAAGCTACGTAGGATTAGGTTAACAACTCTTAATGCCTTTTTGGCTATGTAGTTACAGTGGGCTCTAGCACTTAGATCATTAGAGATGAGTACTCCAAGGTCCTTGACAGAGTTTGGATCATCAACAAGTTCTTGACTATTCAGCCTGTATTTTATTTTCTGATTTTTTTTGCCAATATGTAAGACGGAGCATTTGTTTGTTGAGATTTGAAGTTGCCATTTGCTTGACCATTCTGATACATAGTCGAGGTCTTTTTGAAGGGTAGCAGTATTGTCTGTGGTGTTGAATAGCTTTACATCATCAGCGAAGAGGACGCAGTTGCTCTTAATACGATCACAGAGGTCATTTATGTAGAGTATGAAGAGAATTGGTCCTAGGACACTGTCTTGGGGGACACCACTGTTGACAGGTACAGAATTTGACAGGACGTTCCCAATTTTGACCATTTGTTGTCTGTTTGACAGGAATGCTTCTATCCAGTCATGCAGGTGTCCAGAGATACGGTAAGATTTTAGTTTTAGGAGTGGTTTGTTGTATACCACTGAATCAAAGGCTTTACAGAAGTCTATGTAGGTTGTGTCTATTGCTTTGCCCTGATCGAGTTGTGTAGTCCATATGTTTTTGCAGTGTAAGAGTTGCAGATTACAGGATAGTTTTTTTCTGAAACCAAATTGTTTATTAGAGAGTAGGTTGTTTGTCTCTAAGTGGAGGATGATGGATTGGCTAATAATTGATTCCATGACTTTACAGGTGACGCAGCATAAGGAGATTGGTCTGTAATTTTCAACTAGGCTGGGGTCTCCCTTTTTGAAGAGGGGGATGACTGTGGCTTGTGACCGTAGTTTTGGCAAGGAGCTTCTGTCAGTGTAAGTGGAGGCGGGAGACTGGATGCAATTCAACCATGTGTTTTTTGTAAGAAACAAGCAATATCCAACTTGTTGTTTCTAAAGAGAGGTCCTGAAAGGGGACTTCATGGCCCACAGGAAAACCTTTCCAAACTCCCACATTCCAAAGCAGAACATGAAAAGATATGAACCGTTTGCATGTTTTCCCTCCTTAAGAATTGAGAAAACAGTGCAACAAATAGAGCAATGAGTGCCTTAAACTTGATATAAATGTCAGGCACACTTAGTATTTGTAAAGCACTGTAACAAACACATTAAAATGAGAACACAGATTCCTGGTACAATATGCTTACACTGTAAACCTCTCAAAGAACCTTGTCAGTAAAGCACTATGGAGCAGTATATAAATCTTAAGTGCTATTGTAATTAGTAGATAGTAGGAAAGTTTTCTTAAGGTAAAAGCAAAATATTGGAAATTTTTTATAAATTGTCATAGCTCACAGGTGTGAAAATTCTTCCTTTCTCCCTCCTCCCTCCCTCCCTCCCTCCTGCCAAGGAGGAGATGGTCAACTCAACAAGCAGGACTTTGAGAGTGCTGAAAATACTCCGGGGTGTCTATCAAAAAATATGAGGTTAGGAGGAGCCTTAAGCTTTCCAGGTGTAATACCTTTCATCAAACATGGACAGAGAATGTCTACTTAGCAGGTTCCCCTAAGGTCCTGAAAAGACATTCCTTCTGTCAATCAATATGGAACCACTGCCAACAGGATTGAGGGAGGAGAAGAAGTGAGTCATACCTGGGAGGAACGAGTGGGAGATGATAGCATATCTTTACCGATACGTTAATGTTCTTATTTTTTGCAGGCCTTTGTGGGGTGTTCAATGTATTGACCAAGGTAGAGTTTCAGTTACAGAAGCTACCCGTGAAAGGGCTGGCATCCCTGAATCCTCAGATGAACCACTCATTGATTTCCTCCTTCTTTTGTCTCCTTCTCAGTCTGCTCTGAACATGCTGACTCGATGCCAGTCCATGCACTTTGCCAAAGATGAGATCCTGTGTGTTACATTGCACCCTGGGTGGGTGCAGACTGACATGGGAAACAAACTGGTAAAAGAACTGGAGAAAAAAAACACAAGCTCTGTATAACAATCAGAAAACAAGTGAGGGCAAGATTCATCGGATTAGGAGTGGAACCTTCTGAAGATTTCTGAAATGTTTTGTTCCCACTGGATCACGCCATACCACCTGCTGTTTCTCCTGGGGGCGGAGGGGGGGAATGATCTCTGAATTGGAAGCATTCCTAAGGTTTCCAGGGGTACTTCAGACCCCTGTTGGAAAAAATATCCATCTGGTTCAGCTCCAAGCCAGGAGAAAGACAGTGGAAACAGGGAGGTTAACTGGAAAAATGGTTTAACGGTGAAGCAGGACCATCAAGCCCATGGTTCTGGTGCAACTGACCACATGGAGTTGAGAGAGGGGGGTATTTATACATTATCTTGGGCTTTGCACTTGGACTTCCTGTTCCTGTGCAAGAACATATATTCGGTTGGCTGTTGTCTGACCTCCGTGGGGCCATGGACAAACCCTAGGAGTTTGTCTGAGCTAGGTTTGCTTAAAGCTTGCTGGGGGTGGTGCAACTGAGATGATGCAATGAAGGGGCTTTGGGCAATTCCTATCCTTGTTGGATCTGGGGTGAGGGTATTTGCTTAGGAATAGACTAGCTATCTCGCTATCTCTGCTGATATCTGCTGAGGGCTATTGAGACAGGCGGGGGCTGCTTTCCAAGAACCTGTTTCTCCATTTCTCATCCAGGGAAATATAATATTCTGCTTTTTAAATATTTCTCAACATATTCCATTCTTCTAGGAGAGGGGCGGGTGCTAACTTTCTACACCACACACACAAAAAGCTTGTTTCATCGGAACACTCTGTGTGAAACACCTTGAACTATTTGAAGTTTGGAAAATTTATTTACTGAAACCACCAACCAACCCCAGTAATGTCATGGCCCAAAAGGTAATATTTCAGAATTTCTCTAAGGCAGAAGAAAAATGCTGCTTTGGGTTGATTAACTGCCCATCAAATGATAATAACTTTGAGAACATCATGTGTGGTATCTACTAGGGCCACCTTCTAGAACAGGACTGAAGGATTGTTATGGTGATTCTGACAATTTTCAGGGCTTGGTTTACATTCCTGCCCAAGAAAAGAAAAAACTTGGATTATTTTGAAATACCAGAGAACCAAACGGGATACCTAACAACCTTCCTGGATAACTTGCAGTTCCAAAGCGTATGTGTACCTCTAACAAATAGGGCATGCTTATTCATTTCAGTGTAAGAGTATCGAAGTTGACACTATGGCCAAAACCCAAATAATTGTTTTGATAGAACTTGCCAACATTATTGTTGCTTGGAAATAATTGGACACTTATTAAATTTATTTAAAGGGAAGAGCCCAAGACAGAGCAGTCAAATTTTAATTCCTGATATCTAATTTGCTTTATTATACTGTATTTTATTGTAATCCAATACATTATTATGCTTACAATGACACATGAGACATAAACATTTCACGTAAGCCAATAAGTAAACAATATATCTAATGATTGGTAATGAAAACATTTTTCCAATGCTTTCATTCTAGGACATCTTTTATCTACCTTAATCATCCTTCTTCAGTGTAAAAATAATGGAAATGTTATAAATGACTAAATATGAAATAAAATATTATAAACTTTATAAAACTTTGTAAAAGAACTTACATTCATACTTATTTGTTTCCTGGGGTTTTTATGATGCTTAAATCACAAGCAAGTCATCATTGATCTATATATACTGTTTCTATTAAGGCAGCCTCAGATCGCACTGACCTTTAGCTAATGCATTACTGGTAGTTCTTGACTTATGACTGATCACTTAGTGACTGTCCAAAGTTACAACAGACCCTCCAAAAGCTATTTATGAACCAGTGTCAAAGTTCCATTCTCCAGCATCACCCCTGGAGTGAATGTAACATGATCACATTTTGGACACTCAGCAACCAGCCTGCATTTATTAGCATTTGCAACATCCAATTGGCATGATTTATGACCACAATTTCCAGGCTCAATTACAGTTGTAAACTGAGAACTGCTTGTATATTACTATTGCTGATGTTCAGCTGGTGATTTACTTGTTGTTCTCATGCATACTGCCATCAGTTCAAGTCTCCTCAACCCTGTATTAAGCATTTGATTTTTCCCTATCCAAACGAAAGGTGTCTTACTGCAGCAGGCCTTCTACTTATGGTATTTGTCCCAATCTTCAAGCTCACTACATCAATGTAATTTTAGATTGCATCTTTTCTCTTTACAGCAAATAGTCCTCAACTTACAACCATTCATTTAGTGACCATTCAAAGTTACAGCACCGAAAAAAAGAGACTTATGACCATTTTCCACACTTACAATTTTTGTGGTAAACATCAATACCAATTCTTTTCCTAACAGTCAAAGCAAATTTTAGTGTTAATGGTTGATAGGTGTCCCATCCTTCATTAATTCTCTTCTGGTTGCAGCTCTTCCAACAGAATCCTGCAGAAAAAGGAGATGAGAAACTGGGACATTTGATGGAATTAGCATGGAATTATTTGTTTGGTCTCAACTCCTGAACTTCTTTCTAATTCAACCAGTGAAAACAAGATTTGAAATAAGCATACCAAAAAGGAGGCTTATCTATATCTATAACTATATCTATAACTATATCTCTACATCTACATCTACATTTACATCCAACTATCTATCTATCTATCTATCTATCTATCTATCTATCTATCTATCTA